AGCATGTAAGTTCGCAATCTTTCCAAAACTTGTCTCCCAATTCATCTCGTGAGATGGCCCTAAAGTGAAAGAATGATTTAGATAAGACCGTACCAAAGATGCAGCTAGTTTTTTTTTCTATCTTTGCGTTTAAGTCTCTGACGGTGCTGCACGTAATGTAAATGTTTTCCAATGTGTTAGTGAATTGTTTTATTTTTCCCTGATCCCTTCTCAATCCACGATGAGCGAGATTGTGCCTTGTTGATGAAGAACCTATATGAGCCTCCAGGCATTGCCAAATTTTCTTCTTTAAAATATAAATTTTCAGCGAGACTTGTGGATTATATTTTTCCCATTTGTCAGACGTAATTCGCACTTAAATCAACAGGATCTGCAAATCCAAGGGAAAATATTTTTAAAATTCTTGAAAGATGAAAGTCTACGGGGGAAAATTTTTCAGCCACATGTTCAATGTTCATACTGACGATTTTCTATAGCACAGCTGTACCTTGGGCTGAATATTGAAATTGACAAACAAAGCACCAGACGAAGGATACACAAAGAGAATGAAGCGATCCTATTGGTAGAAGCGAATGTTTGCAATGGACAAAGGAAGTAACTAAGAACATAATTCCCTATAGTTAGTCGACAATTTCCCCCAGAGTCTAGACGATTCATCCGTTTCAACCAATAGGATTGCCCAAATCTCCCTCGGTGTTTTTTATCTGTATTTTTGCTTAATTTCAATAATCAGCCAGCAGATGACAGAAGTTTTTGCTGGCCGTACTTATTGAGACTCACTTCCCTGCACCCAAGTAGCATTTTTCAACGGAAAAATGGCGATATTTTGAAATTAAGTTGCGATTTTTTGAAGATAAAATTGCTAGGAACACCAACATCTGAGTTATTATCTTCGACCTTCTCGCGAGTATCTATAAAATCGCGTTCGATAAAATCGAAATTTTATCTCAATTCATCACGATTTCTCCCCGATAATATTGCGATAAACGGAATTGCGTCGATGAAATCGCGATTTTATTGCAAATTCATGCGATGAAATCGCTATTTATCACAATTTTTTATTCGATAATATTGCAATAAATCGAAGTCGATGAGATCCGATACATTATTCGATCTAATCGCAACTTATCGCGATCACTGCTACTTGGGCATCCGCATGAGGACATGTTTGCTAAATCAATTTAAGACTTAAGTCCGGTTCTCGACGCACCCAACGCTTTATTGATTGGCCATGACGGACATGACAATGTAGAGTATTATTTCCGGAAATCTAGGCCATTGACCATTAAAGCGCACGCATTAAAGCACACGCACCTAGCTTTGCCATATTATGCAAGGATCATTGACATCACAATCGCGATCTCCTGCGTGTGTGGCAAGTAGCAATAACTATCTTAAAATAATCATGTTACTTGAAAAACTCGTCAAAGCACTGTCCAGGCATCGTTTACATGAAAATTACGAGAAAACACGAGCTGATGGGGGAGCAAGCGGGGCTTGAATTTCGGTGGGCTCAAAACTTGGTTGGTGCGTACGTTATGCAAGGCACAAGCAACGTAACGAAAGTCGTTGACAATAATAATTACCTACACACTATGAATAGATCTGAGCAAAGGATTAAAAGCTGAGCCACCATGCTACACGGAGAAAAATCTATGGCTTTTAAACCAATTATTGGTTCATATGGAACACCACCAATAGTAATGAGAGCAACATATAATAATAGTACAGATCCTTACTTATGGTATACATATATATCATACTATGGTACGAGCTACCACAGTATGGTTTACAGACCGACAATCCCTGGTAAAAATTGGCGATAAGAGCTGCGTTTCAAAATACCATTGGAATTCTTATAGCCGGCTAAAGATGGCAACAGAAAATCATATGGCTGGCTGTAGAGAGTGGAAAAAATCATACGGCCGGGCTACACGAAGCGATACAAAATTATGCAGCCGGGCTATAGTTCCTATCGCCGGGCTTTACATTTTATCGCCTGGCTGTTGCTTTTTCGCCATCGATTATAAATGGCTATGAGAAATTGTGTAGAAATTCGTGTGCTTTGGAAATCATTAAGTTTGATACGGAACCACCTTAATATTTACAAAACACACATTATATTTTCCTTTAATACATATTTTTTTCATCAATTAAAATGAGAATAATAATGGATGTGCAAACATTTCAAAATCATGAGTTGAATAACGCTGACTCCGCCAGATTAAATATTAGAGCCTAACACAAAGTGGAGCGAGCGGCGACGCACTGGCGCCTACAAACCTGACAGGGATACTTCACGCATTGCGCAACGCGTGAAGTATCCCTGTTAGGTTTGTAGGCGCCAATGCGCGTTTCGCGCTGGCTGCCCGCCTGCCGCGTCGCGGCGCGGCGTGCCACGGCGCTTGAAGCAACTATTTCACACCAGAGGTATTGCACAGCATCATACGAAACTGAAGGCGCTCTAATATATTAGTGATGGCAGGCATCCATCAAAAGTACGGAGCTTTCCTCGCAAAATAAATCAAGATACTACGGCCCAAAAAGAGAGCAGTATTA